TATAGAGGTCTCACTGTTAGATTAAGTACCCAGGGTACCAGGAATCAAATTCTCACTCAGACATAGGAACTGACTGAATGGCCTTGGGAAAGTCACCCCCTTTTGCCTTTGGAAAAAAATGGCAAACCTTCTCATAATATATCTTGCCAAGAAAGCCCCATGCTAGAGTTGACATATATTGACATCAGCTTGAAGGTACATAAAAACAACAGATAGGAGATGAAGACCACTGTCATTTTCATCTTCCCAAGAACATCTTATTTGCTGCTCTGGAATTAGGATTCTGGACTCTTCTGTGTGAACTAGTAGGGACCTCCTTAAGAATCGTGAAGGTCTCTCGTGAAACACACTTGAAAACAAACTTAGGTAGACCGCAGAAGTAGAAATAAAATTACTTTTTCTTATCTTCTCCTAAAAACTGCATTCTTAATTTAATCATGTAGTTAACATGCTGATGATGTATCTCACCTGAAAGGTTAGCCCATGGTATTGTATTATAAACTCACAAACATATAATAGCATGATTTCTAACAGTTACTGAAGTGTAAACAACTATCAAAGATCAAATTCTATTTTATTACACTAGAGGTACAAAAATACTGAGTGCTTTTATCAAAAAACGATGCTTAATGTTTTGCTTTTTGGAACAATATTATTTTTATGTGGCAGAAAATACTTGGACAAATTGTAACAGCTTGTGTGGAATGATCTGAATATGTATGTATATGCTTCAAGTTCTCTGTCAGCTTGTGGCAACCTTATGAATTTGACAGGACTTTCTTAGGCAAGGACTGTATACGGTTGGTTAGAGCCAAATATTACTCCTTTGAATAGAAGAAGGAATTTTGAAACAGTGCTGAAAAAAAATGTGATGAATGTCTGTCCTAAAATTTGCCTGCCAAATGCTGGCATCTAGATTTAAGTTTCACTTGCAAGAACTGAAGTGTTTAAGCAGGCATGCCAAGCTCTCTCCTATTAATGAGCAAGCTATCATTCCCTTCAGTCAACTGACCAAAGAAAAGGAGAATCATTGTCCTAACCTCCCTCTGCTATTCATATTTCTACCATGCTAATTTTACAAAAAGGAATTATGTAAAAAAAAATAGTGAACTCCCTATAACAAGTAGGCAACAGCTAAAATGATAGCTTTTAATAATGCTCATTCACTAATCCTTCCCAAGTGCAACATTATGTTTCAGTAAACCTCAATGCTCTATAAACTTCACTCTCAAAGCACATACAAACAGCTAGCATTACAGAGAAATTACTGGATTATGAAAGCCCACAGCAGAGGCTGGAGAAGGTTAATCACAAATGAAAATCAGTTTGACAATGTTAGAAATCAAGTGCAAAGCTTGGTGCTGTACAATGTGAATTTGGTAAGCTGAAAAGGGCTTCAGGGTCTACACCACAAATACAACATGCAAGAACCTGTTTGCTCAAGCATGAAGTACAATTGCAACAGTTCCCTTCCCCCAAAGATACAGGCAACAAAAGGCTTCCCTGTAACATCAAAATTGAACCACAAACACAATTAAAAAAACATATATACACACGCACACAAATACTAAGAACTGCATAGCACTGAAAATAGTTGCAATTGTTTCTTTCCCACATAAAGCTGACATGGTTGCAAATGAAAATTCCAAACGTCTAATTCCAAGGTTAGGACAAACTACCATATGTCAGAAGTGAAATATTTCTGGCTTTCAGCTCATTTGAAAGGGCAGCTAACGCACTGGTGAGAAAGCCATCCGCACTCTGGAGCTATCAGGATGACTACAGCATCTAACACCGTGGAAATCAAATACCGTGCAGACCTTACAGAGAGCAAGGACAGAGAAATCCCAGCTCAGATCCTGTTCCACCAGCCAGCCAGCCCCTCTCCAACTTAAAGCAGGTCTGGAGAGTGGAAACGCCTGAGTAATGCCACCAGCACGAGAGCGGAAGATGGATACTGGAGTAAACAGGAAGGGCCAGGTCTGCTCAGGGAAGGGATTTAGCAGGGGAATGGCAGGGTCAGGCCCTCCTTAACAGGGGAGGAAAACAATAACACACATCAATAGGAGGCAGCTCTGTCTGTGGTGACTAGGGGAATATCTATGCTGTAAAATTAATCCAGTTTGACATTACTGTAACGGCCATGGCTCAATGCTGTGGAATCATGGGAATGGCAGCTTTTCAAAGTCTTTCGCTTTCTTCTCTGCCAAAGGATGCAGGTGCTTCACTGCACAACAAATCCAGGATATCACAGCATTGAGGCATGGCAATTAAGGGCTGCGGTAGCATAGTAGGGTAATCTGCTAACTGCAGAGAAACTGCTAACCGGAAGGTTGGCAGTTTGAAACCACGGGTCGAGGTGAGCTCCTGCTGTTAACCCTAGCTTCTGCCAACCTAACAGTTCAAAAACATGTAATGTGAATAGATCAAAAGGAACCCATGAAGCCATGCCGGCAATCACGACCTGGAGGGTCTATGGACAACAGGCTACTTGGCAGAGAAAAATGGAACAAGAGCACCTCCCCATGGCTAGAGTTGAGCATCGCCTCCAGACACCAGAAATGAAAAGGGAAACTTTTTCCTTTGTTTGTGTATAGTATGTAATTGTTCACTGTATAACAAGCATGGAATGTTTCCCTATTTATGTGCATACTGTAATCTGCTCTGAGTCCCCTCGGAGATTAAGATCATATTGGAGAGGCACTGCTCTCGATCCACCCTCCTTTGCAGATGTGACTGATGGCGATGAGAGACAGGGCCTACTCAGTGGTGGCCCCTCAGATGTGGAACTCTCTCCCCAGTCATATTAGAGCAGCCCCCTCCCTCTTGGCCTTCAGAAGGAAAGTGAAAATCTGGCCCTGTGGGTCAAGCCTTTGGAGATTAACTACAATGCAATAAAAGCTACGAAATTCATAGAATCATAGAGTTGGAAGAGATTGTGTGGGCCATCCAATGCAACCCTCGCCAAGAAGCAGGAAAATCACATTCAAAGCACCCCTGACAAATGGCCATCCAGCCTCTCCTTAAAAGCCTCCAAAAAAGGAGCCTCCACCACACTCTGGGGCAGAGAGTTCTACTCTTGAACGGTCAAGAAGTTCTTCTTAATATTCAAGTGGAATCCCCTTTCCTGTAGTTTGAAGCCACTGTTCCGCGTCCTAGTCTCAGGGACAGCAGAAAACAAGCTTGCTTCCTCCTCCCTCTGACTTTCCTTCACGTATTTATACATGGTCATCATGCCTCCTCTCAGCCTTGTCTTTTTCAGGCTAAACATGCCCAGTTCTTTGATCCACTCCTCATAGGGCTAGTTCTCTAGACCCTTGATCATTTGAGTAGCCCTCCTCTGGACACAATACAACTTGTCAACATTATGTGCAATGGCTTTTGAAATGGTCCCAGATTACGATTGCGAGTGGTGTGATTTTTAATTAGTGAGTGTAATGCTTTATATGTATATATGTTCGTATTTATATTATTTCGCATATTTGTACCCCATCTTCCTCACCCTGAGGGGGAGACTCAGAGTGGCTTCCCAACAGGCATTCATTCAATGCCAAACAGCAGTAATGAATGATAAAGTGCTGGCTTTAGCCTATAAAGCCCTAAACGGTTCTGGCCCAGCTTATCTATCCAAACGCATCTCTTCCTATGAACCCACCAGGAACTTGAGATCATCGGAGGAGGCCCTGCTCTCGATCCCGCCTGCTTTGCAAGCATGTTTGGCGGGGGTGAGAGACAGGGCCTTCTCTGTGGTGGCCCCTCGGCTGTGGAACTCCCTGCTTAGGGATATTAGATCAGCCCCCTCCCTTCTGACCTTTCGAAAAAGAGTAAAACTTGGCTCTTCGAGCAAGCTTTCGGTACCACAGCATAAACAGACAAACTTGAATCAGAAAATGACCCAGGAACGGCCAAGACAATGGAATGGATGAGGATTTGAACGAGACGATATAGTTTTTAAAATTTTTATTGTTCATTGTTTTTATGATTTTAAATGTACTGTAATGTTTCTTTATTGCTTTTTATCAATGTATGTATTTTATATATGGCATCGAATTGTGCCGACTCTGTATGCCGCCCTGAGTCGCCTTCAGGCTGATATGGGCGGGATAGAAATAGCGTAAATAAATAAATAAAAGAAATTAAAACAATTTGTGAATGCTTTAAAATTACTAAAACATTGTTTAAATCACGCAAGTTTGAAATCATAGTCCAGATCGGTCCATTGTAATTCACACAAATTGGGTCTCATTCTAAATTGCTGCCTCTACTGTTCAAACACTTGGTCCCACAGCCAGGTTTTGACTTTCATTCTAAAGGATAAGAGGGAGGGAGCCAATCTAACGTCACTGGGTAGAGAGTTCCACAGGCATATTTTAAATGTGCATTACATTTTAATTTTAAATCTTTCACTCCATGTATTTTAACTGTTTGTTGTTCAAAGGCATTGAAGAGTTGTCCTACGGAAAGCCTCCTTGAGTCTCCTTCAGGGTGGAGAAAGGCAGGATACAAGTAAGAGTAAATAAATAAGATAGAGCGGAATATAAATAAAGTGTATTATTATTATTATTAAAGTGGTGTCCAATTCTACAGCATAGATGCACCCTAGGGGGCTAAATGTGCCTGGAAACAGGGCCAGGAGTGCTCAGGTAAGGCGAGAATGTGCCCCAAGGGCAAGGAGATGGGAGGGAGAGATAGCTTGAGCTTATGAAGGAGAAAGGGATGAGGGCTGGCATGGGCCAACTTGGGCCCTCCAGGTGTTTTGGACTTCAACTCCCAGCATTCCTAACAGCCTCAGGCCCTTTCCTTTTCTGCCTCAGCCACTTAAACGGCTGAGGCGGAAAAGGAAGGGGCCTGGGGCTGTTAGAATTGTGGGAGTTGAAGTCCAAAACACCTGGAAGGCCCAAGTTTGCCCATGCCTGCTGTAGAGCTACAAAGAATCTCTCTGTTGCAAAGCATTTTCCCTCCAGTGTTGAAGATAGCTTAAAAGAGGGATTGATGCTCGCACGGGCTCCCTGAAGTGTCGGATGACGGCCAGCGTGTCGCGGTGCGTGAGGCCGCTCACCGGGGTGCCGTTCACCTCCAGCAAGACGTCCCCCGGCGCCGGGGCTTTCCCCGAGAGCAGGACCGAGCCGGGAGCGCCGCCTGAGGAGGACGAGGAGGGCGAGGGCTCGGCCGGCGACGTGAGGCGAGCGCCGAGGTAAGGGAACTCTCCGCGCTCGGCTCCCCCGCGGAGGAGCTCCGGGTCCGGCCCGCAGCCGCTGCCCCAGGACACGGCGCACTCCTGCACTTTGCTCAGCCAGTGCCGCTTCCTCCGCAGCGTCTTAGACATGAGGCCGCACCATGGGCGACCTTCCGCCCGAAAGGAGGACGAGGAGACGACGACGACGGAGGCGCCACTCTCCCACTGTGTACTCAGTCAGTCAGTCAGTCAGTCAGTCACTCGTCCGGCCAGTTCGCCAAGCGCGCGCCTCTGTGTGCTTGTGCGCGTGCGCGTGCGCGCTCTCCCTCTCTCTCCTTGCCTCGCGCCTTCTCCAACCGCCACCGGCCGCGGCTGCTTCCCAACTGACGGCTCCCTCCGCGCGCCGGCCGCGGCACGAGGACACGCCCCCTTCTTCTCTTCCTCCTTCCATTGGACACACCTCTCCTGCTCCTCTCCCTCAGCTTTCTCTACAAAAGGACGCGCCCCCTCCTTCTCCTATTGGATACATCCCTTCTCTCAACTCCCTCCCCTGAGTAGGAGGACACGCCCCTTTTTCTTTTCCTCCTCCCATTGGACACAGCTCTCCTGCTCCTCTCCCTCAGCTCTCTCTACAAAAGGACACGCCCCCTCCTTCTCCTATTGGATACACCTCTTCATCCCTTCTCTCAACTCCCTCCCCTGAACAGGAGGACACGCCCCTTCTTCTCTTCTTCCTTCTCCCATTGGGCAAACGTATTCTCCCCCCTTCTCACTGAAGCGGCCTCCCCACGGGTGCCAAAGGACACGCCCCCTGCTTCTCCTCCTATTGCATACACCTCCTTCTCCTTTCTCTCAACTCCCTCCCCTGGGCAGGGGGACACGCCCCCTTTTCCTCTTTTTCCTTCTCCCATTGGACAAATCTTTTCTCCCCTCTCCCCCACGGCTGACAGAAGACACGCCCCCTTCTTCTCCTATTGCATACACCTCCTCGTCCTTTCTCTCAACCCCCGCCCCTGGGCAAGAGGACACGCCTCCTTCTCTTCTCCCATTGGGCAAACTTATTCTCCCCCCTCTCCCTGAAGCGGCCTCCCCACGGCCGCCGGAGACCACGCCCCTTTCTTCTCTTCCTCTCCTCCCATTGGACACACTTCTTCTCTCCCTCTCCATCTTCCCCTCCTCTCCCTCTCCTCGCGCTCGCTATTGTCCCCAAAGCCCCACCCGGCATTCCAGGGGGCGGGGCTATGGGACTGACGTCAGAGAGAAAAGAACTTTCGGGGACAAGGAAAAGGGTTTGTGGCGGCGACAGGACGGTCTGCAAAGCGGCTTTGGTCGCTGCCTGGCTCTCAGGCTGCTGCGTTGCTGTTTCGGAGATCTCGCCCTGTTACTCTGGAATAGCAATTTACTAAAGCAGTATGTCTCAACCTTCCTAATGCCGCGACTCCTTCAAGCAGCTCCTCATGTTGTGTTGGCCCCCAATCATAAAATTATTTTGGCTGCTACTTCATAACTAATTTTGCTACTGTTATTAATCGTAAAGTAAATATCTGATATGCAGGATGTATTCACTGGACCAAAATTGGCACAAATGCCCAATACGCCCAAATTTGAATACTGGTGGAGTTGGGAGAGGTTGGTTTTGTCACTTGGGAGTTGTAGTTGCTGGGATTTATAGTTCACCTACAATCAAAGAGCATTCTGAACTCCACACCAATGATAGAATTGAACCAAACTTGGCATAGGCAACTCCCATGACCTACAATAAATACTGGCAGGATTTGGTGGGCAGTGTCCTTGAGCTTTGGAGTTGTAGTTCACCTACATCGAGAGAGCACCATGGACTCAAACAATGATGGATCTGGACCAAACTTGGCACGGATACTCAATATGCCCAAATGTGAGCACTAGTAGAGTTTGGGGGAAAATAGACCTTGACATTTGGGAGTTGTAGTTGCTGGGATTTATAGTTCACCTACAATCAAAGCGCATTCTGAACCACACCAACAATAGAATTGGGCCAAACTTCCCACACAGAACCCCCATGATCAACAGAAAATACTTTGTTTTCTGGTGGTCTTTGGTGACCCCTATGACACCCCCTGGTGACCCCTCTGAGAGGTCTGACCCCTCACTGTGGTCCATATGTCATCCAAGTTTAGGCAAGACAAATGTCCTTGCCATCTGAAAGAGGAGCCTCTTCTGTGTTGTTGAAGGCTTTCGTGACCAGAATCACTGGGTTGCTGTGAGTTTTCCGGGCTGTATGGCCATATTCCAGAAGCATTCTCTCCTGATGTTTTGCCCCCATCTATGGCAGTCATCCCCAGAGGTTGTAAGGTCTGTTGGAAGCTAGGCAACTAAAGGCAGGAATCAGCCAGGCTTTGAAGCTGCAAGGCTGCTCAATGCTAATCACATTCACACTTGCCTCAAGTGGACAAGAGTTCTTTCTCTCACTCTGGACATTCCACAGATATGGACAAGTTGCCTCAAGTGTACAAGAGTTCTTTCTCTCACTCTGGACATTCCACTAGGGAAACTCACTTCCCTAGTTTCCAACAGACCTCACAACCTCTGAGGATGCCTGCCATAAATGTGAGCAAAATGTCAGAAGAGAATGGTTCTGGAACATGGCCATACAGCCCAGAAAACTCACAGCACCCCAGAATCTCTTCTGGTTCTAGGGGTGTGCATTTTGGAGTGACCACAGCTTGTTTGAGCTTCCAGAGTCACCTTAATCCTTTTGTACTAGTGATTTGGTCTGGCCAAAATACAAGGTGAAATGTTTGTACCTTTGAGTTGCCACTCACCTACCTCGTGCAGGAGAGATAAAAGGCTTTGCTACACAGAAGAGAGGGATATACCCACTAAAGGGACCTAAAACTCCTTGGGGGTCTTTCCTGCCAGTTTCTCAGTCTGCCACTTACACAGAGTAGAATCTCAGAGAGGGCTTAGACCAAAGCTGCTGCCTGGCATTGCTGGCATCTAATCAGCCTGACCCTGGTGCCAAAGGGATTGGCTGCGCATTCCTGTTCAGCAGTGCAGTTCTAAGCCTCTGCATTCTTCCTTAAGCTACTTCGTAAACACCTTCTCAGTACTTACACTGGAATTCCAATAGATATTAAAGCAAGGTAACTTTCCGTTTAACGTTTAAAACCTGCAGTAAATAATTGTCCATCTTTTTTTAAAAAATTAAGTTTAAATATGGTTTCTAGTCCTTCTATAGCTCTTTTGGGATTTTCCTTTAAGCATCGTTGCTAATTTTCTCATTTCTGCTAGTTTGTTCTTCTAATATTATTTAAATACAACAGTTAGCTGCAGGGGTGTAGGTAAACATTATCTACAAGAAGATTTTTTAAGAAGTTATTATCTTCAACCCAGGGAAAAGGACGTCAATAGAACAAGATTATATCTGTAATGTACATTGTACATGGGGTTGCCTTTGAAGACTGTTTGGAAGCTTCAGGCAGTCCAACGGGTGGCAGCCAGATTTCTCACTGGAGCGGCATACAGGGAGGATACAACTCCCCTGTTATGTTGGCTCCACTGGCTGCCCATTTGCTACCGAAAACAAAGTGCTGACTTTAGCCTCTAAATCTCTAAACGTTTCTGGCCCAGCTTATCTGTCCCAACGCATCTCCCTCTATTAACCATACTGGAGGTTAAGATCATCTGGGGAGGCCCTGCTCTTGGTTCCACCTTCTTCTCAGGTGCAACTGGTGGGGATGAAAGACAGGGCCTTCTCAGTGGTGGTCCCTCAACTATGGAACTCCCTCCTCAGCAAAATCAGGTCAGCCCCCTCCCTCCTGACCTTCAGAAAGGAAGTACAAACATGGCTCTGGGACTAAGCCTTAGGATAGAAATGTAGTGCAATAAGGGTAGATAGAACATGTGGAATTATGGCTGGAATGCCCTATGACTATGATTTCGGACTGTTTGGTTTTAGTACTTGATTTTAATGTTTATATTGCTTTTAATTTTGATGTTTATTTTTATTATATGTTGTTTGATATGGCATTAAATTGTTGCTGATTGTAAGACCACTTTGAGTCCCCTTCGGGGTGAGAAAGGGAGGATATAAATACTGTAAATAAACAAACAAACAAATGTAGATGTGACTAGAAAACTGAAGTAGAAGCAAAAAATATAATAATAATAATAATAATAATAATAATAATAATAATCCCATTGTTGCCAATGCAATTCACTTACAGATCCATGTTCTCATCTTTGCAAATTTTGTGCCTCAACAGATGCTTGGTTTCTCCATAAATCCTTCTAGATTCAATTAGGCTTATTGGGAAATAAATGTGCATAGCTATTCAGACTGTTTATACATATATAGAGAGAGGGTGATTGAAAGAAACATTGAATGTGCGGCATGCTGCAGTGTACTTTTTAATCTTCTGTTTCTTTGGGTACCAAGGATATTGGTCCAAGTAGTTCTTGGGCAAAATAGCCATTAACTATTTAGCCTTTTAATACTTTCTCTGTGACACTTTCCCACCTTTCAGCAAAACCCCTCAAAAGTAAATGTCACTGAGTGCAATATAACTTCCTTTGTACAGTATAGTAAGGACTTCATCTTCAGCTTGGAAAAAAAAAACCTATCTTGTTTTCTGGTCATCAACTTCGCCCTCAGCATATTTACAATGAGCTTTTCTTCAATAAAACATAATTATATACATATTCTACTTGTTTTCACTTTTTAATTAATGCTGGTTCTTCTTTTTGAAATACATGTAAGACACAATGGACCTCCTACATTCCTTTCTGCTTCTTCTGTTATATGCTACTGTAATGAAAGTTATATATCAATCAGTTATACATTAATCAAAGTATTGAGTCCTTTTCTTGAAATATCTTTGATTAATATGAGAAGAAGGGGAGATAAATGTAGGGAGCCAGATTTTATGGCTACTTCTGTCAATATTTACTTTATGAATTTGTCATTCCTTCTTTGAATACTACAGCATACTGTGCAAATTGCCAAGCCCAAGGGTGGCAGAGTGACAGGCCTTTGACTGAGAAAAAGTGCCGATCAGAAGAAGTATAAATAAATAAACTGCAAGGAGTAAGAGCAATGTAACCCAAATGTGGCCAGCTTTATTGATTCATCTTAGTACAAGGATTCTTTGCATTATTGTCAGTATGTAGCATTTGTTTGCAGCCCTTCAACATTTTCCTAAATACAATTAATTCAGTGGCTGCACTCTAGTTTGGAACAACAATAAGATTTAAGCCAATATGTGCTACACTTTTTATTAATAACTTCTATCACATTTTTGTGTAAAGAGCTTTATCAACTTACAGAGCAACCTTAGTCAAGCTTGCTCAAAAATAAGCCCATTTAGTCCAGTGGGTTTGAATATGGTAGGAATATATTCTGCAGCACTTTTCACTTTTAAGGTTAACTTGTT